AAGAAGGTCGTTGGCCATTACTATTATTAGTGATTTGATCCGAAGTTGACGGAGCATTCGGTTCAAAATACAACTGCATATTGTCATCCTCAAGGGTCTCAATCTCCATGTTATTGCCCTCAGGAGTGGTTGAAGTTGGAACCACGTTGATATTTTCGATTACAGGACTGATGGGTCTGTCAGTAGGAGGATTTATGGGTCTGTCGGTAACTGTACTTGCAAATCAGCGTCTGTGAAAACGAGTTGATTAGGTGGCCACAATCCTTTTTTATGGAAAGCTTGTTGATATTTCTCATTGAAAAAGCATTTTCATATGGTTTGCTTGATAAACTGCTTATATTTCTTATTGAAATCGCTTGACCCGGGTGTGCCAACATCCAGTCATTGAAGGCGGTTGCTATGTAGGTTTTGAAAGGACCATACCCACGTGTAGGGGCTGAATTCTGTGGGTCGTGTGCGGCGGGAATGAAAGGAGGACAATTCCATTAGCCTTACAGAAACGAATCGCTTCAACAACAGACAAGTGTGATTCATGGTTATCAATTAATAAAAGAATTTTGTGTTCTTTCATCAATATTGGCCCTGTCTGTCTTTTTCACGTACTTTCGAGGCATCTAAATTAAGTTTACAAGCATATTAGACCAGGCGGGGTAGATTCATCAATGACGAAAGTACCCCATTTGTTGTTGACGTATCTACCCCCACCTACAGTTACATTGCTTTTTGGCCTTTCAATGTCGCATATGCATGATTTTAGGTTATAATGAAATTGAAAACCAATATGTAAAGATATATGACTTAAAAGGCATAAATAACTCAACAATAGTATATTGAAAGACAAGTGTTACAATGCGACCTATTGTAATACGACTATCTTGTGGCACGAGTGGCGACGCGAAGCGTAGCCACGAGTGTCCGCAAGATAGGAGTATTACAATAAAGCATTGTAACAACGCGTTTTTCATACTATTTTTTCTATGTATTTCGGTGCTTTAATTTAATTAAAAAAATCATTATCAGAAACTATAGGGAACATTAGAACTAACATGTTTTATGTTGGGAACACTTTTATGCCGTTAAGTTTTAGGTTGGCAGCGTAGTAAGACTGACATTTTGAAGTTCAAACATGGAAGTACCCAACGAAGTACTACTTGTACTAACTAGTAACTGCCAACTTAAGAGATGAGTTACCAAAAAAAAACGACTATAATCACTGTCTTTGTACAACTGTTTTCGGTTGTACAAAATCATCATTGTGACACCGAAATAGAAAAAATTTATTGTGTATTAAAAATGGAAATTACCAACGAATTTATACCGCTATTTCATATTGTTCACGAAATATTTGATAGCAGTAGTTCAGACGAAGACGAGATTATGGTAATAAGCAGGCCCGGATTGGTACTTTGTTTCGGCCCGAGCTTTAAGCTTAAATCGGCCCAATTTTACCAGGTGATTTTCTAGACTATGAAAACAAAGATTAATTTCGTAGTAGTAATTTATTTGAAAAATACAACAAAATAAAAACATTCAAGTTAAATCAGATAGATACAAGTATTGCACAATACACCGTCAAAATTAAAAAACCAGGCTTTTTTTTAATAATTCGCTTTTTTTAGCAATATCATCTATAACATCTTTATTGTCTATGTTTAACAACACATCTTTTTCTATGGACATAAGTAAAAAAGATTCCAAATGTTCTTGTGTTAAACAATTTCGTAAACGATTTTGAACATATTTTAATTTGGAAAAAGTAGTTTCACACCTGACTTGGCTGCAAGATAACGTTAATAGATATTTATAGGTCAAGTAAAGTTTAGGGTAAGAGCCGTTTCACATGCGACTGATAAAGTCCTGACGGTCAGTCCTGATGATACGGACTGACGGTCATGGTCATAGTTTCACATGCAACGTACAGTACGGAAATGTCTTTACTACGAGACGGTTCTCAGCGCCTCCGGAACAGCGCTGTTGCCGCTTTTTGTATAAAGAGAATAATACAACGCAAAAAAGTTAAGAATAAAAAATCTAGAGTATGGGTACACCCCATTAACATGGCAAGAAGTGTACACGGTGCATTTGTGACATTATACTCAACTTTGAGGGAAGATGAACGCAAATTTTTTAACTATTTTCGCATGTCTACAAGATCCTTTGATGAGCTACACGGCAAACTAGAAAAACGATTAAAATTTGCTATACATACGGAATATCTGTCTCATCTGTGGAAGACTCTGTGTAGCTTTGAGGTAAGTTTTTGGTCCGATCCCAGCTAAAACTGCAAAGTTTCGCAGAGTTGTTTTTATTGTAAGCAAAAACGCTAGTTCTAAAACGTTAGGTAAGCATTTGTTATTTCACCGAGGTTTTCACTGTCCCACTAGTAGCCTGCTTAGAGTGGGCTGGTGAGATGGTATATGGTTGCATTTCTACTGATGATGCAAAGCAGATGAAGGCCTCTTGTACGTGTTGGTGTGGTTTAACAATAAGGAGTACGTGTGATTAGAATTTATTAATTACACTAGTCATATATACAGTTATGTTACAGTACCGCTTGTCACGCTGTTATCGATGGAGATCCGTCCTAACAGCTTGGTATGATACTGGTGATGGGTGATGGGGTGCCAGCTTGAAGCATATGCGCAGATTGAGGCCTTGAGCAGGATGCGACTTGATTGGGAGTCAGTAGTATGATGGTTGGATGAGGGTAAAAAGTCTCCATACCCCTAATTCATTGGTGGACACTTGATTGGTTAATTGTATGTATGCCATGGGGATCACCATTTGTGGCAGTAGTTTGATGTTTTTCGGGTTGCTGAAAACATGGACGATTTTTTTAATGTCCATCTTATACGAAGCACTTCGCGCGAAACTGCAGCTTCTTATCCTCATCAAAACCTTTTAAAGTTGGCAATAGTGAAATTAAAAATGATCTGTCAGCATCTTCTTCTTCCGTTGCTTTCTCATTACTTTTCTCTAGCAATGAAATCATTTTTTCACCCAATATGTCGTCCTGTCGCCGCTTCTTTCTTTCAAACCTTTTTCGTGTTTCAGGTGCATTAGCATCAGGTTCTTCTACAATATTTTCTTGAGTATGTGGTTCGTCTTCTGATAAGTCACTATTATCATGTGTAGTTCTAATTTCATCGTCCTCAATGCTATTGTGAAGGCTTGTTTCTGTATTATTTATATCTAAAACGCTATCGAGAAACCTTAAATTTTCGAAATATACATATTTCTTTATGCCTTTTGCAGCTTGTCCAGATTTGGTTTTATATACTTTATTACGATCTCTTCGGTATGCATCACGAGCTGTTCTCCACCTCTGTACAACAATTTTCACTGAAAATAAAAAAACAACCTGTATTACTAATAATCATTTACACCCTGCAGCTTGATTCTTTTGAGGTACTGTCCACGTAAAGAGGTAATTGGGCTATTGTTTCAGATATCTGGCAAGTGGCAACACATTTACAGACCTGCACTATTCATACAGATTAGGGATATCAACCATAAGTGCAATAGTGGAACTTGTATGTGACGCCATATGGGACATACTGAGACCGGAAGTTTTCCCTGAACCTACAAGAGAAAAGTGGCTGGAAATTGCATCGCATTTTGCCCGTTATGCTAACTTCCCTAACTGTATTGGGGCCGTTAATGGGAAACACATCAGAATAATCAAACCCATAAACAGTGGTTCTACTTTTTTTAATTACAAAAAATTTTATTCGGTAGTTCTCTTGGCAATTTGCGACGCGAATTACTGTTTTACATATGTGGACGTCGGAGCTTTCGGGAAATTTGCGGACTCCAATGTGTTTGTTAACAGTCAATTTTGGAAGAGATACCAGAAAAAATTGTTAAATCTTCCTGAAGATAGATATCTGCCAGGAACAGAGAAGCCAATGCCTTTTGTTATTGTTGGCGATGATGCGTTTAAATGCGGCCGTTAATAAGAAGGCACAAAAATCGTACTGCGCATCGCTTCGCCCGGTACATTCAATAGCAATTGCCGTAATTGTGTACGTTTAATTTAATTTTAACCGTGATCGTCATCGTACTGTATCATATATACTTTGAAATGGTCAATAAGGAGCAACTAATCGGGGAAATATTCCAAAGACCGGCAATATGGGACCAGCGACACAAATGTCACCATAATAGATACGTCTTAGAGAAGAGTTGGGGGGAGGTGTCTGCAAACTGTGGTATTTCAGGTAAGCAAATAAATGGAACTTGTTTTATTCATACTTTCTTACGTACGAGTAGTAACATATCAGAACATTCTTTTCAAAAAAATTACGTATAACATTGAAGTCAAATACAGGGTGATCCGGTACTGAGCCGACCATATGTTCTAGGGGGCATTAAGACAAAATATTTTTATACTTATAAACTATAGACGAATTTCTCAAACATCGAAGGAACTTTATGAATAGTTCACAGCATTTTCGATCATAATGTCTACTAGAATATACATATATGGTAATGGTGTAAGTCTGCGGTTCCGAAACACCCCAAAACAAGTATATAGAACAATATCATTTGATTCATTGAACACCTCTTTCTGTAGCAAAATAGTCTGTGAACACATTTCTCACTGAAATAGCTTAACATACCGTAACATGGAATACTTTATATCTATCTTACAATAAATGTTTTTTTGTTGTTCTTACTTACCTGAGAGTTACCACCAACCTTTCTTCGGCGTCTATTGGCTGTACATGAAGATTATTATACTTTTTTTGAATCTTTGGTTGTATGAGTTGAAGTATGTAATTAAATGTTGATTGAGACATTCGTAAATACTCATAAAATCTATCGGGATAGTTCTTTAGTTGTTGGTACAAATGATGGTATTCTCCAAGTTTCGCCCGTTGCTTTTGTACGGGATGGGCACTCCATCTTCGGCTTGTCCCTTTGGAAATCAACCACCATTTTACCGCAATATTTGAATCACTATCGGTTTCGGAGTCTGTTAACATTTTTATAGTACCGTTTTAACACACTTTCCAAAATGTAATAACGGCGAGATGAACTGCTTTACTATGTTTGTGTTCGATTCTTCTTCGCCGCTGTATGCGTAAGTGAGTTGTGGCGCAAAAAAGCAAAGAAAGTCTCTGTAAGGCAAGGTGTAAGGATGCAAAACTATCTAGAAAACGTTGTTGCATTATATTCAGATGTAGAATTCCAGTCACATTTCAGGTAATTTAAGTATAAAAACATTATAAGAGGACTATAAAAATGCATCATGTCTTTTGGAATGCAGAGACGAACGTTTGAATTTGTTTTGAAGATGATTGGGCCTGAACTAAGTAATAATATACAGGGTGTCCCTAAAAGGTCTGTACAACGCGCTACCAGGGGTTCTTGGTATCAAAATAGGACGATTTAACCCAACTTACCTCTATCCAAAAGTGCTTCGGTAAGGCGCTATCTACCGCCAAAGATTTAAAAAAATCGTTATTTTTATTTTATCGGAAAATGGTTTTGCCGATTAAAATGAAATTCGGGATGTGAATGTCTAATGTAAAAAGGGTCTTTGTGATATCATCGTTTTGATTGTAGTTGCTATGTAGGTGGTAAAATACTGACCATCCACATCTGAAGAGGTCTAAAACTTTTTAACTACTATTTTGACGGTTCTGAATTTTTAGACACTGATAGACAGTTTACTTGCAAGCATTTTTTGTCTCTTGATGAATATCGCTATCTGTGATGGTTTACGAAAAAAAAAAAATTTAGGCATGATGAATGGCATGCACCATACATGCGATTGTTCCTCAAAAAATCAGAAGATGGCTGTGAAACCTTAGAGTGGCGTAACGTTTGTTTGTTGTTTCTTAAACTTGAACAATTTACGTTTTGCTTGAAGACTTAAAATTTCATTGTTAAAATTGTAATATGGCCTTTCAATACAGTAACGCAGAGTTAACTGATATGCTATTAGTGTTTGGATACTGTCGTGGAAATGGTCGCCAATGCGTTAGGGAGTATACTCACAGGTTTCCAAATCGTCATAGCCTACTTCTTGCTTGCACTTATGGTTTTTGAGGAACAATCGCATGTATGGTGCATGCCATTCATCATGCCTAAATTTTTTTTTTTTCGTAAACCATCACAGATAGCGATATTCATCAAGAGACAAAAAATGCTTGCAAGTAAACTGTCTATCAGTGTCTAAAAATTCAGAACCGTCAAAATAGTAGTTAAAAAGTTTTAGACCTCTTCAGATGTGGATGGTCAGTATTTTACCACCTACATAGCAACTACAATCAAAACGTGATATCACAAAGACCCTTTTTACATTAGACATTCACATCCCGAATTTCATTTTAATCGGCAAAACCATTTTCCGATAAAATAAAAATAACGATTTTTTTTTTAAATCTTTGGCGGTAGATAGCGCCTTACCGAAGCACTTTTGGATAGAGGTAAGTTGGGTTAAATCGTCCTATTTTGATACCAAGAACCCATGGTAGCGCGTTGTACAGACCTTTTAGGGACACCCTGTATAATACGGTCTGTCCAGGTCGTCCATCGTCATCGCCTGAAAAGCAATTGTTGGTCACTCTCTGGATTTTGGGAACACCGGATTCATATAGGAAAGTATTATGAGATTTTTCTTGGCTAGACTTTATTATTTTTCTGAATAGGTCTGTATGTGATCGCTTTGGAATAGGAAAAGCCACCTAGCCCAGGCATTTTAGATCAGAAATGGGGTCAACCCTACGAAAAATAACGTAAATCTGAAAGTTGGCACAGTTGTTCTATTTGATGCCCTGAACAACATATAAAAAGTCCCAAGAATTCCCATGTCGGCTTCCTTGAAGTTCGGGCTTTCGAAAGTCCGAACTCTTGAAATCTGCACGACGCCACTATAATTATAGCCTAGCGGACGAACGGAACAAGTCCCAGAGTCGCGGGAGGGCTTAAATTAAAGGTTAGTAACCAGGCTATCTTTTGATATGATTTTGCAAGTGCCAGTGACAACTTCCGGCCAGACAGGAAGTGGAAAAAGACCGCGAAACTTGACAAAAAAATCGGTTTTTGTTTTTTGTTTGGACATAGGTGCGGTTTAGCGTCCGATATCGGAAAAATGACCAAAACAAATGTTGTAGAGCGTAGTTTTAACTTTAAAACCGTACCCTTTGCGTTGAAATCCGACCAATAGGAGGGGAGCTACAAACCGTTAAGTGCGATCCCACGCGCCGCTCGCCGTTGCGCGACTTGCCTGAGAGGTGCACCAGATCGACCAGATACGGTTGGCTTAATAGCGGCGCATCTCTGACTTATTTGTATTTTGACTGTGAGCGTTTTAGACTTTTGGAATGTGTTTAGTGCGTAAATTTTGAGGGAAACTGTACTGTATTTTTTTCTAAACAAAACAATCCAAATTAAAAATTTTTGAGTAAACTTCGTCGTAAAACAAAGGGGGTTCGGGAACATTATTATATATAACATTATAACAGCTCCTGCCTCTACAATGCGCGCACATTAAAGTGCAGTGTAGGTTGGCAGAGCGGCACGAACAGCGGTTAAAACAACCTTGCTGGCAAGCGCAAGAAATCAAATGTAGATGTTCGTCTGGTGCTGGTGGCAGACTTGTCGGATTTGGAACAAGTGTGGGCCCCATTTTTTTCCAGCCCCAATCCGTTGGCAAGAGACTGTTCGATGGCCATTCGTGAACCTAAAGTAAGGAAAATAAGAAATAGAATTAACTAAATCTTTCTAAAAACTACTGTACAATCAGATTCCATATCTCACTTGCAAGTACGTCCGCAAACTGTGTTGCTCGGCAGCGGCGGTTGTTGGCGGCAATGTAGCTAGATCAAACGTAGCTTTGCTTTGCTTTGCTACTGCGCGAGCATAGAGGTGAATTTGGAGATCGTCCAGGTTTTGATTGTCTTCTTTACTGCCGTAGAGATGGACAATACATTTTTCACCAGCTGATACGATGGATTCTTTTGGTGTGCCCGGTTTGTTGAACGTGAATGCAAGATTTTGTAGGTGTGGGTTTTCTAAAAGCTTCCATGCCTTCTTTTTTCCTTGGTTGTACAGCGCCGATGTAGTATCGCAACCCTTTATCGCATGAAGGAATAGTAGGCAGTCTTTCTTCGCGCCTATTCCTTCGTGCGATAACGGGCTGCGATAATACATCGGCGCTGTACAACCAAGGAAAAAAGAAGTCATGGAAGCTTTTAGAAAACCCACACCTACAAAATATTGCGTTCACGTTCAACAAACCGGGCACATCAAAAGAATCGATCGTATCAGCTGGTGAAAAATTTATTGTTCATCTCTACGGCAGTAAAGAAGACTCTCGCCAGGAAAGATTGCCGGTCACAGCGCACCTTGTGTCAAATTACAATCTATGTTTTTTTTAAGATGCGAGCGACTTCCGGAATAGGATCGTGCCAATGTTGAACGAAAAGACTTTTCGTTCAAGATTGGCACGATCCCATCCTGGAAGTCGCTCACATCTTTAGAAAAAGACAGGTTGTAGACCGGGATCAGGTCTTCTGTGACCGGCAATCTTTCCTGGCGAGATGTTTATATTGAATCTGATTGTACAGTAGTTTTTAGAATGATTTAGTTAATTCTATTTCCTATTTTCCTTATTTTAGGTTCAAGAATGGCTATCGAACTGTCTTTTGCCAACGGATTGGGGCTAAAAAAAATGGGGCCCGCACTTGTTCCAAATCCGACAAGTCTGCCACCAGCACCAGACGAACATCCACATTTGATTTCTTGCGCTTGCCAGCAAGGTTGTTTTAACCGCTGTTCGTGCGGCTCTGCCAACCTACATGCGCCCATTGTAGAGGCAGGAGCTGTAATAATGTTCCCGAACCCCAGTCCGAAGACGAAGAATCCGATGGAGAAGGAACGTCGAATTAAAACAGCGAACCTGTCCTTGTTTTACGACGAAGTTTACTCAACAATTTTTAATTTGGATTGTTTTGTTTAGAAAAAAATACAGTACAGTTTCCCTCAAAATTTACGCACTAAACACATCCCAAAAGTCTAAAACGCTCACAGTCAAAATAGGAATAAGTCAGAGATGCGCCG